CCTTCAAAATATCATCCATGGGACTGGCCAGATAGCTAAGCAGACTAACCTGCCTGCTTAGGCAGAGTACAGTGACCAGGGTTCAATGCCCAGCGTGCCGTGTAGACCCATACCCTAAGAGCCTGAGATGGCAATTGATTCTAGACATGGTTATGCACACCTGTAATCCCAGCACTTGTGAAGCTGAAAATAGGAGGATCACTACAATTATGATTTGTGCAGTGAAACCCTGTAGACCCTGTACTAAATACATTAAAAGAATCAATATTATCCACAACAGTTTATACTTAGGAATCAATGTAACAAATTAAATGAAAGATGTATAGATTGAATATTACATCATTCTACAAAAAGTGATCAAAAAGCTTTCCAGAACTTGGGAAATTATTCCTTACTCCTACACAGGAAGAACTATCCTTGAAAAAAATGACGATACTCCTCAAGTTGTGTTCATTCAAGTGATTGGCCTGTAGTTTTCAATTTTGGTTTCTTTTTCTGCATTTTGGTGTCGAGATAGTACTTAATTCAATTAATGAGTTTGGGAAAACTGCCTCTCTTTTAAAATCACTAAAGAATTTGAAGAGCATTAGCATTGAATCTTCTCTAAATTGCGTGGAAAGCTTGGCTATGAATCCATCATGACCTGGGGTTTGTTTAATGGTAAATGTTTGACTACAATTACAAATTGCTTGAGTCATATTGGATTATGCAGAAGTTTTCGTATCTTTTTAGTCAGATTTGGAAATTCATACGTGTAAAGGAATCTATCCATTTCTTTTCTGTTTCAGCTAGAGATATAGCTCAGCGGCATAAGCACCTGCCTAGCAATTGCAATGTCCTCAGTTTAATCCCCAGTACTGAAAAAAGAAAAAAAAAAAAATCACACTATTTCTTTTGTTTTCTGTCCTGGGAGAGTGTAAAGATTTCCAAATTGGTATTGATGGTGTTCTGAATTTCTGCAACATCTGTAGTCATTTCACACATTTCATTCCTTATTGTTTTGATGTAAGCTTTATTCTTCCTTCTTTTTTGATTAGATTGACTACCAGTTTATTAATTTTATTTAAACTTTCAAAAAACCAACTGTTTGATTCATTTATTCTTTTTATTATTTTCTTTGTCTCAGGTATGTTAATTTCTGCATTAATTAATATCTGTTCTTCATGATTTTTCTCCCTTGTAGGAGCTTTGGGGTTGACTCATTTGTCTTTTCATAGAAGTTAGAGGTTCAAAACTAGGTTTTTTTTTTAGTTCATTTTGTTTTTGGAATGTGGAAATTGAGTACTATAAATTTGTCTCTTAAGGCTGCTTTCAGAGCAACCCATGATTTCAATGCTGTGTTGCTACCATCATTTAATTGGAGGTACTGCTTGATAACTTCTTTAATTTCTGTAGTCACTCATTGGTTTCTCAAAAGAGGTTTATGTAACTTGGTCATGTTTGTATAATTTTAGGGGTTTGTTTTCCCATGTCATTGCAGTATGGTTAAAAAATATACATGGGATAAAATGATTTTTTGACTTTAGTTTAGCATGTCCTATGGTCTACTATGTGCTCTAAATTTGAGAATATACATGTGCAGATAAGAAGTCCTTGCACACTGATTAGTGTAGGTGACATACTCTGTAGACATCTACTAAGTCTATTTGTGTATAGATTTCATTCAGTTCTGATATTGATTTCTCATGCAGTTGATCTGTGTATTGTGACAGAGAGGTATTAATATCCCACTTAAAATTGTATTACGGCTTCTTTGAAGTTTTTCACTTAGTTCACATTTGATATACACTATTAGGCATACCGGTATTTGGTGCATACATACAGTAATGCACATGAATAAAGGAGATCTTTTGGCCAAGGCAATGAGGAGGTGACACACCAGAAGCCATGAGCTGAGGGTCCCAAGGAGCAGAAATAGCAGCGATGTGAATGGTGAGCTAATTGCCAAGCCAGAAAAATGGGGAAGAGCAGGGATCATGACAGGACAGTCACAGAGCCCATTGGTAGAGTTCTCAAGGTATGAGACATATTCTGCACCAGTGCCCTGCTGAGGGATTCTGCTTGGACAGAGTTCCCTGCACTGCCAACAAAACCTACATGTGTATTCCTTGTCTCAGTAAAACAAAGCAAAACAAACTAAATGGGACCTAACAAACCAGAATAAATTAAAGTAATGCATCTATTTTAGAATCCTTCCACTAACTGAGATTCCATTTTGACTTCTGCATTACTTGTTTTCATTATGGCTGGTGAGCTTAATCACAGTATTCTTGCTTCATGATGCAGCAATCTCTATTACATTGTGGACATTCCTTGTCTCAGTAAAACAATGCAAAACAAACTAAATAGGACCTAACAAACCATAACAAAAGTAAACAATGCATCTATCTTCAAACCTTTCCCCTAACTGACAGATTTCATCTTGGCTCTTCCATTACCTGTTTTTGTTATGGCTGTTGAGCTTATCCATGGTATTTTTGCTTCATGACATAGTGTTCTCTTTCACACATTGCAGACCTTGTGAGAGATCAGGAAAAGATCTTAAGCTGGGTGACATTTTTCAGGATCACTTGCTGTTCTCAATGGCTGTGAAGCCAAGGGTACATTTGGCTTCTCGGAAAGTTCTACTTCTGCAACTGCCCACACCACCAGTGCAAATCTGCCTGACACTCCCCTTGGAGCCTCCTCTCTCCCTATTTCTTTCTTCCTAAAGATGAGAACAAATCACTCATTCACAACCACTCATGTCTAGGTTGACCTCTCATATGGAACCTAAAGATGCAACAGCTACATATGGCAATCCACAGAAGCATTCACAGAGGCAATGTCTCTACTCCCTTGCCCTTTGCAAAGCCCACATGCCCAGCTTGATTATCTCACTGTAGAAATCACTAGAACTGTCCACTGCTGATATATTCTTTCTTCAGCATGCATCCATATATATACCAAGGATGAAAGGAAAACTTAGCCTCTGTTGCCAAGTCTGTAACATGAAGGCATCAATTTTCACAGTGCAGGAGGTCTTAATGAAACATTCCTTTCATTGCTGTAGAACAGACATGTACACCTACCTATGTCCTTACAGGAGAACATAGAAAATCATGAGTTCCTCACTTTAGGATTTTCAAGGAACATGGCTCTGCTTACAACCCTCAAAACAAACTTTCCTCAAAATTGCACCCATCCTGATCCTTACTAAACAATCACTAAAGACCTATACTAACTTAGATTGTCCTTTTGGATTATGAAGGTATTATCCTGGAGGTAAGCGATAGAACATCATGTGAATAGATACCACTTAGACGGTTTTGCAATCTTGTGATTGAGATTTTAAGTTCCTCTATATCTCTTTGACTCTGTTTCATGTGCTCTACTTCTTTCCTATATTGCTCATTCAAGGATTCCATCATTTTTCTATTCTCCTCTAATTTTTTATCAGTGTTTTCTTTGGAGGCAGTTAGTAATTCTTTCATTATGCTTATGCTTTCTTTTTTTTTAACTTCAGAGATTATTGCTGATCCAATTTCCTCTTTGTATTTCTGCAGTTGATCTTTTACTTCAGATGCTATTAATTCAGCGACCTCTTTTTTTATATCAGAAGTTATTTCTGATCTGAGTTCTTCTATGCCTTTCTGAAGTTGTTTCCTTACTTCAGACATCACTAATTCAGACATTTCAGCTGTGTGATTTCCATTTCTTTCTGTGCTAGTGTCTTCTGCATTTGTTCTCGATGGGCTCCATCCTCCCATGTGCCTGCTGGGTGCCTCAGGACCTAGCCAAAGCCTGGCTTGTGAGTGAGCAGAGACCAAACAGTCCTTCTACCTGAGGAATCTCTGTTGGAAGCACACAAAGTGCAACGCAATATTGGAAATAAAAATGGATTACAATGAGTAAAGCATGCAATGAACTCCTACAAGGAAGACTAAATAAAGGATTTCTCATCAAATTTTGGAGGAAAAGTCAAATAGAATATTAAGTGTCAGCACCTGAAGATGGAATTAAAAGAGAACAAAAGAGGTAAAGTGGGGAGCATTGTTTGTGAAAATAATGTTGAAAAAATACCCTATACTGAAGAATAACCCAAAGATGCCACTGGTGGTGATTGACAAGATTTGCAGAAACAGTATGCGCAAACATAGACATACTGAACATACAAACAAAGGAAGAGACCATGAACATAGTCTTAAATAGACAAACACAGAGGTTGTAGAAGTCTCCATACATAGCACCATGCTGAGGAGACACTATGGGCTTTCTGTGGACATTTTCATTAGATAAATAAGAAGCATATTGCTAAGAACCACAGGTGCTGGAATTTTTTGTCTAGAATACCTACATTTCCCAAGGTAGAGCCAGGTGCAGGGAATCCTAGACAACCTTTCTGAGTCTGAGCAGGTTTAGGTCCACATTACTTTAGGACAAAAGCACAGCACAGACCCTGATACAGAAGTTAAAACAGTAATGGAACTTCATTCCTAATATTTGCACTTGAGGCTAGGGATTTGGCTCAGTGGTAGAAAGCTTGCCTAGCAAGCTGGAAGCCCTGGGTTTGGTCCTTGGCACCAAAAACAAAATATAAACCTCCCCTAAAAAATAATGCAACTTAATATTTGTGCTTAATGTTTAGATCAAGTTCTTTCAATTCTGTGATCCAAGTCCCACTGTTCAACTCTTAGAAATAACACAATGACAAGGAGCAGTGAATACCAGTAACATGGAGGAGATGAACAAAAGTTGATGCAACACCCATAGTGCATCATCTGTCAGCAGTTACTCTGTGAGAACACAGGCAGCCTGTGTTCACATTCCCTGCTCCTTCTCATGCATCCTTCTGGGCTGCAATCCCAAATGGAAGTAAGGAATGACAGCCATCCTGGCATTTTATTTGTGAAGTCACACAGCGTGGAGCTGAAGGTGCCATTGTTTGGATCCTCCTTACAAAGGCAGCTGTCCTGTTTGCCCAGTGCAGACTCCAGGGCAGATCCAGAGTCTCCCACAAGATGCTGGTGGTCCTGCTGACAGCTGCCCTAGTGGCCTTGAGCTCAGCTCAGAGCTCAAGTGAAGGTAGGAGAAATGGGGTCCAGGGTGAGGTGTCATTTAGCTTGGGATTCAGGAGACCACACTACAGGGGTGATGAGGGTGTGTCAAAAGAACTCCATGAAAGGAAAGTCAGGACTAAGGAGGTCTTGTGGCATGGGTATGATGCCTTAGGCCTGTGTTCCATATCAGGACACTGTAATTTTATTGATGATAATATCAGTACCAGCATATATTATTTTGGTTTTATTTTTGATCAGAAGAATGATTAGTTTTGTTTTTGCAGAGAAATGTTTCTGTGCTATGAAGCATGGTTGGGAAAATGGGAAGACTAATGCTGGGAAGCCCAGTGGTGTAGATATTTCCACAATCTCAGTGGGTGGACCAGGCTTCCTGTTCAGGCAATCAGGACACACTGCAGAGATACATCATGTATGTAAGAGTTATTTGGAAGTGCCTCAATAGGAGAGCAGAGATTCATACTGATGTAGAGACACAGAAATACCATGGATCATTTTCACTGAACTACATCCAATATATTAATGTATTTTGAGGGGTTCTGTCACTTGATTAACAAATGCTTAATACTGATTTCCCTTCATCTAAAGGATATTGGCTGCCAAGATAGCTCAGTGGAATAAGTGCCTGCCTGGCAAGCACAGGGTCCTGAGTTCAATCCCTGGTACTGCAAAAAATAAATAAAGAAATAAATAGTCTCACACCTAAAGGATATTTAAGTAAGCAAATGATTTAATGAAGGAAAATAGTAAACCAACAAAAACATGATACTGATATAACTTGAATACATAAAAACAATTATCAGTGAGGTCAGATATAGTTGAGGGAGGACAAAAAGGAAGTCTCTACCAGGTCATTTTTAAACATGTTTGAGAGTTAACGTGGCACCTGCTCTGCCACCCATTACATCTGCTTCTCTGTCCAAGGTTATGATCCCAGAGAGGGGCTGAGCATTGTAGAGAGTCCACGTGGGGCTATTCATGTTGCAGTTGGAAGCCACCTTTCCTTGTAGGATATTTGTGAGCCCCCTAAGAGTGGCAGCAGACTTTTCACCTCATCTGTGCTTTATTTTCTAGAGATCATCTATGAAGTGTTTCCCTACCTGATATCAGGTAAAACCAAATTCTTCCTCAGTCAACTTTCACTTCCTTCTTTTCTACAGGTATTATTCAGGCCTCTGGTGTCTTCTTATCTTCATTTGTATGTCAGGGAATTGATAACTGCTCCATAGCCTTTGAAAAATGTAGACAAACCTTAGCAACTGGAATTCATAGGATTAGAGGCTGGTTTACCTTGTTCTTTAGGAGATAGGGTTAGTGTCTACTGCAACTTATAGGAGGAGGCTCCATGTGGTCTCACATAGAGACTGCTGACAGATGATGCACTGTGGGGCTCCATCAGCTATTTGTTCAGCTCCTCGCTATTACTGGTATACACTCCATGGATTCTTTCTTTCCTGGGTTCCTTCTAAGAATCATATGATTACCTGTGATATGCCCAGAAACATGTGGCTATTGAATTTGTTTCTATATTTCTCCACTCACCCATGTCCTTCTAGATGGTAAAGAAGTGGTAACAGCTTTTCCATAAACTCTGTATGATCTATCTCTTTCCACTGCATGCATTTTAGGCTTTTCTGCAAATAGCTTGCACTGCACCTACACGTCCTTTCCACATCACACCTAGGTGTCCTGAGCTGAATCACTGGCAGAAAGTTCACACACTACTATTTGCCAAATTTCAGCAACACACAAAACAGAGGTTAACATTTCCCTTTGCTTTTCATCTGTCTTAGAAATGTGTTCTCTTCACTCAAAGTATCCATGTTCTCCTTTTAGACAAATGGACAGCAACTCCTGTCTCTGGTGGCTATCACTCAGGTGTTCTGCATATTCCACAAGTGTAGGGCATGGGTCTAGAGCCACTCTCTATGGAAAGGCACTGGGACCAAGTGAAGAGGCTGAGAGTGTGGTCTGTGGAAAGGCAGAGACATCTGCCACTGAGCTCATCTATTCTTGTGCTATGGCCTTTTAGATTTTGAGAACCAACGTCAGGGCTCTGCTGAGGAAGTAGAGCCTCCACAAGAGAGCTCCCCTAGTGATGATGGAGATGAAGAAGAAGATGATGATTCCCAGGAGGCACCACCCCCACCTCCTCCTAGGCCTCCTCAGGGAAAACCCCCAAGACCACCCCAGCCTAAACCTCGTCCTCCACCTCCTCCTGGAAACCAGCAGGGACCACCCCAACAAGGAGGCCCACAGCAACCAAATGGCCCTCCTCATCCTGGAAACCAGCAGGGACCACCACAGCAAGGAGGCCCACAGCAACCAAATGGCCCTCCTCGTCCTGGAAACCAGCAG